CCATTTGAGAACATTACGCGGTGTGACGTACCGGGAGGTTGATGTAGAAGCACCACCTCCAAGATACATGGTCTGCTCGGATTAGCAAATGCACGTCCCTCGCTGAGCATTTCTACCCACCGGTAAATGCTCCGCCTGAGAGTGCAGAAGTCAGCATGCACCTCACTCAACGGTGAGATGCGGCCTCTTACCTAGCAGGGGGCCAACGATACTCGCTATGGCAAGCAATGCGCCAAACGCACCAAACAACGCTGGACGGTCCTCAAGCCGCGTGAACTAATCAAGCCGTGCGTGAGAACCGCCAAGAAAATGGTTGATAAGATTACGCACTGATGCAATGGTCGCAATGGAGCAGATGGTGATACTGTAGCAGCCTAGTCAGCCGTTCCGAAGTCTGAGCTTGAGTGTCAGGTACTGACCCAGCAGCCCCACACCCAGCTACTGCCCGGCCAAAGATCAATACCCGCATGGAAGGAGCCTGGGTACAGTTCGATACAGCGCACCAATGAAGCGAGTGACCTGGCTCACCGCCCCACATAACACAGACCCAGTCTCGAAGACCACGATGGAAGTGATGTAGACGGTCTTGATGGGTATCGTGTTGATCAGTTGTCCGACGCAGAGCATGAGCCCCGCTTCAGTCAAAAAATCTATAGCGTTTCATTAGGACAGAGACCGAAGGGTGAAGTGGCGGGCTTTACAAGCTGCGGCGACCCACGTGGCAAGGTCAAGTGCGTTGAAGACGGAGACGATGCGCGGCAGCGCAGTGGCTACCTGAAGGCCGTCAGTCTAATGTTCGCGGCGGCTGACGTTATAAATGAGGGCTCCTACGATGGTCTGATCGAGGTTCACAAGCAGAACTGACAGCAATAAAGAGCTTATAGAGATGTTATCAGTGGTCGCCCGAATGGTATCGTAGACGAGATACATACCCGAAGACTACAACGAGCCTTCCACCGCGCAGATACTCAGGCTCTGTGCGTAAGGGTGTGGCTTTTAATTCTTGTGTACCGTCTGGCTTGCCCGGTAACGGCGACCCTTTATTTTCTGTTGCCTCGAAAGGCAGGCCTTCGACTTGCAGCGAAGGTGGCGTCGTGTAGGCGTTGTGCGACATACTGCACCAATGTACGACTGGTATTCATCGGTGAGCAGATGAGCAGCAAGGTAGATGCACTTGCCTGCCTGGCCGTTAGAAGGTGAGAGGACTGGCAGGAAGTGGGCATGCCCCGCGATCCGTGAGACCAGGAGGCAGTCTGGTCTTCATCCGCGTCTACCAGCTGGGCTCCGAACAGGCCGAGCCCAGATTGCGTTGGACATCGAGGAATCCATGCGCATCTTTCACGACGGGTTCTTGGGAAGTTGTTGAGATGCCCTTTAAGGAAGCTACGGCGCTTGTAAGGTCTCCCATCAAAGTGATCCGTCCTTTGTATTGCGGTCACCGCCATTCGATATCTCTCCGCGACAGGCGGACGCTAGCGCCAAGTCCAACGGGTTACCAAAGCTAAACATTGCACTCATTGAACCTACCCTTCGACTCTTAACCATCATGTTCCGTGCACTGCGGCCCACATCCCCCTCACTTCCTCGACCTTTTTTTTAACGTGGACGCCTGAGGCCTGAGATCCCAACTACAGCTTGTCGACAATGTGGCCCTTCTCAACGTCGTATCCTACGCGAACGCTCCAGCAACTGGAGGCAGAATACGACTATATCATCGTCGGAGGTATGCACACGTCACCAAGCCACGCTCCCTGCCTACACTCACGTTTGGCACGACCCAGGCGGAACGGGTGGATGCGTCCTGGCTCGCCGGCTCGCCGAAGACAGCAGCAGCAGCGTGCTCGTCATCGAGCGCGGCGACGCTCGCGACATCTGGCTCGACCGCTTCCCGTTGCCGTCGACACACCACTGGTCCGACGGCAAGCACAGCATGGTTCTCGAGGCAGACATGCTCGGTCAGAAGACAGACATCATCACTGGCAAGGGCCTCGGCGGGACTTCGAGGATCAACGCAATGCAGTACAGTCGCGGCGCGCCTGGCGAGTACAACGCGTGGGCGCAGGCTGGGCGCAAGGGATGGAGTTATCAAGAGCTGCTGCCGTATTTCGAGAGGGCAGAGTGCTTGTACAATCCAGTGACGAAGGGACATCACGGCACTGAAGGTATGTTATTTGCTGGGCCTCCAAGATACAAAATGTTCACACCAAGCAGGTCTATGGAAGATCCAGTCCCCGTCGTCCACCTTCAAGTTCGGTCTCAACGAACAGTGCGTAATCTTGCGCATATATCCACAATTGCCCGTAAATAACTCCGTATACGCGCTTCCAGCATCATCAAGGGCTCGCAGAAAGCGGGCTTCGCCTATGGCAAAGATGTCAGCGACCCGAAGCTGCCCACCTCGGGGTGCTTCCTGATCCACCACACTATCGACTCGTCGGGCAACCGCCACAGCACGTTCCGGGCATTCCTCCCGAAGGAGTTTGTGCTCGCGCATGACCAGAATCTGCACCTGTGCGTGAACACTGTCGCGCGCAAAATTGAGACGGCGCGTCTGGCGGACGGGAACCTGAGGGCTACAGGTGTGGTCATACAGAGCGTGACGCCCGGTGCGGCGAGTGTGCTCGTTAAGGCCCGGAGGGAGGTCATTTTGTGCTCGGGCGCACTACGGACCCCCCAGATATTGATGCTCAGGTACGACAAGATCCTGGCAATGCCCTTCATAGCTTACCGAGCTCTTTATGCGTATAGCGGCATTGGCCCCGAGAAGCACTTGAACGACATGGGCATCCCAGTCGTGTATAACCTCGAGGGCGTTGGCTCGAGTCTGGTACGCCTCTTCTATCTCCCTCTGGCATTGCTGCTGACTTGCAACTTCAGCAAGACCACATGGGCGCGCACCTCGACCTGCAGTGCACGCTTGAACACTCGTTGGCCGTTCTTATCTGGCGGCCGTGGTATCTCTTTTACCAGCTCCTGCGCTACTTCCTCTTTGGCGATGGATGGTTCCTCACTTCGCTCGTCGAAGTATGCGTCCTCACCTGCGAGCGCTGGCTTGATGCGGACGCGGGGCAGAAGCCGCTTGGCGAGAACGATAAGGATGCGTCACGGCCGGAGAACGTTCCGGATATCGAGATCATCACTGTACGCTCTCCTCTTCGCTTTTGACAAGACGAGCCGCGCTGACGACGACGGCAGAGCTCGATCTGCGACTGGCGCTCCCCAGGGTACGACCGCACGCGGGGCGGGTTCACGATGCTTGCTGCGCCGCTACGACCATTCTCGCGGGGCACCCTCCGCTTGTGCTCCTCGGACCCGCTCGAGCAGCCCGCCGTCAACCTGAACTACCTCGCCGATGTGCGCGACCGCACCAACCTGCGCGCGGGCATCAGACTGTGCATGCGCATCGCGCGTGAGATGGAGAACGGAGGGTACCCCGTGGGCTACTTCAAGGCCCCACGAAGCCTCGATGACGACGCGCTCGACGCGTTCATCGTGGGCCACAGCCAGAGCTTCTTGCACTACAGCAGCACTTGCCGCATGGCGCCGCGCGACGATCCCGAGCCGGGTGTCGTGGACGACGAACTCCGGGTGCACGGGTTCAAGAACTTGAGGATTGCGGACGCGAGTATCTTCCCGCAGGTGCCTGCGGCGCATTTACAAGCGCCCGTCGTCGTTGTGGCGGAGAAGTGTGCGGATATGGTGAAGGCTAGCGCTCTCAAGTTCAAGTCAGACATGAAATCGGCCAATTGACCGCCATGAATAGGTTAAATAAGCGGACACCGTCCTTCTCAGGTGATGAGTTATGGGTATTATCATTTTTTCTGTGGAATTTCGTGTTAAAGTCTGCATGTTCCTTTCGTGTCCGGCCCTCTGCAACAATATTTGTGACAAGGATCGGCTGTTGGCCTGTCCGTACAGACCTTGGATTCGTGCCTAATCCCGCGCCTAATCCACACTTGGTCTATAGTCAGCCACGGAGACTAGCCTGTCAACAGCCCACTATTCCTGGGGCAGCCCGCGTCTCGCACGCGTCGACAGCAGCTGGAAGCCCTTGGGCACGACGTCGGGCTGGACGAGCAGAAATCCGAACGCGAGCCCACCAACCACGACGGCAGAGCGGAAAGTGTGCGCGGGACAAGTTCAGGGGACGCTAATGTTGCTGCGCACCCGAACACCACTGTTGGCTAGTCATCGATTCATCGCCAGATAGGCTGTCAACGTCGCGACGCCCTCCTGCGTGCCGGAGCCCAGACGCTCCTGTATATCGCCTTCCCCGCGTCCCAATTCCCGCTGACCACAGCGCTGATACCGGCAGCGCGTGCAGGACACCAACGAGAACGAGCTCATGCCAATCACGCTGGATAGCACGTTCGCGGATAGCACGGCCAGGGTGTTCGTGCGCGCGCTCAAGGTCACGCTGAGTAACCACGAGATGGCACTGACTCCGAAGTTTGTTGCGAAAGGGCACTAGACTGGTGGCTGTCGTCAGTATTTTGCTGTGTTCAGTTTCGCTCTCAAGCTGCTTGTTTCGTTTGTCTAGCGTACAAGTGTCGTCACTAGAATCTTCACAGAACGACGCGGAGTCCGGAAGTTCGGAGCCCACGAGCGTACGATAATGCGCCTCACAGCAGATCCCCGTCCTGCCTCAAACTCACGTCGACTTTCCCGTGTGCCCAGTGGCTGATCAGCACGCCGGCCATGGCATTCGCCGGCGGGCCCTTGAACAGCGGTTCGTCCTTCGTCTTGGCGGCGTCCTCCGCCGCCGGCGCGGTCTCTTCGACGCCCGAGTCCCACTTCGGCGCCTGCTTCGCGGAGGCGCCGTCGGCGTTTGCGAGGACGGACAGGACCTCCTCGCGAGTGAACCACCGGGCGTCTGCAGGAGAACATGAGGGTGTTCAGGGGGGCGTTAGTGTTACGTGGAGAGGGTGGGGAGAGCGGGGAAAAGGTCACCTTCGAGCTCGTTGTCCAGGTCGGTGCGGACCGGTTCAGAAGGGTCGGCGACGGCGTAGTAGCCCGCCATCACGTTCGCGGGGAACGGCTGGGGTTGAGGAAGCATGTCAGGACCTCCGGCAGCACGGCTCAAAACAACGTCCGGCGCACCCATGGCTGCGTCGAGGAGTATTTCATCCCGAGCACTTTGACGCCGGCCTCTTCCCAGAGTTCGCGCTGAACCGTGTCCTCGTGGGACTCGCCGGGCTCGACGAACCCAGCCAGCGCCGAGTAGAAGTTCTTCGGCCAGTTGCGCTTGGGGACGTCAGTCGTGGCGTCGTGTATAAGTCGATGCATTGCTTACGTTGCGTCCGAGGAGGATTTTGCTGTTATCCGGGCTGACAGTCAGGATGATGACCACCGGGTCCGTTCGCGGGTGCATGTAGTTGTTCAAAGCTTTCCTAGAGGCACAATATTCAGCCATGTGTCATAGATTTGTGCGCGTCAGAAATATGCTTACGAGGTGGGGCATGGCTTCTCAGCCGACTTTGCAGCCCATGGCAACAGAGACGTACATCCGTGCTTCCACCCAGCCCAGAGCGTGTATACTGGCGAACCACATCCTGCACAGAACTGTATTCACATACTTGAGCCCCCAGGTGTCAGCCAAAGCACCTAAACGTCAAACACCGACCTTGTTTCTCGCCGTCCAGTCCACGAGCGTCCTCGCAACCGAGAAGACACCGCTGTCGAACTGG